CTGCACAAATTTTCAAGAGTTTGATTTACAGTACTCTTTGAAGCAGGAAGGAACTGGGACCCTCCCTAGCCTCTGTGTAGAGTGTGCACAGGAGAGTTGTCTGGATGATGCTGTTCACTGCAGCTGGGGGAACCTTGCCCTGGCCCCAGGGCAACAGATCTGCAGGGCTTACGATGACCAACTCATGCCAAAACAAGGTTTTCCCTGGGCCAACCAGCACACTGGGCATCTCCTCTGCAATCCAGTGACTCCCGAAGCCAGTAACAGCACTGGGAAAGGGCATTTGGAAACCTGGGTGGACGGTCAGGTGAGGGGCAGCACTGCCTGACACAGCTGTGCTAAGTATGTCCCTCTGGAGCTAAACCTCCAGCGGATCCCACTCATTGCCTTCATCAGGTCTGGCAGCAAGGATGTCACACAGAAGCACAGCAACACACTTGGTTTACTCAAACTAAATCGTTTAGCTTCCCTTCAAGAAATGACTGAAAATGCACCAGTCTGGAAAAATCAAGGCTGGGAGCATTGCTCTGTGTTTTGTATAAATAAAGTGATCCTTTACAAGACATTGTGGTAATGCCCGTGGGTGGGTCTGCTATGGCAGAGATGTGGACTCTCATGAATACAGGTTTTGTTCCTGGAATAGAAAAATTGCAAATAAATGATGCATGTGCATGACTTTCTGTTTGTATTGCACTGAAGGAAGGGGGATGGAAGCAGCAACCTAGATGTACTGAGTTGCCTCAGTAAACCCAGGGCACAATCCACCACATGATTCCATCACCCAATTGTGAAAGCTCAGCAACTTGGTTCCTGCTTGCTGCTGCTGTTGGTTGACAATTTTGAGGTGTTTTTATCTGTGCCAGCCATCTCTGCCTCTTTTAGCTTCTGTCCCAGGGTGTAGATCAGACTACGTGTTTACAAAAAGTTCCATCATGATTTCAGGACCAGTGGCAGCCTCTCATGTACTGGAAATAATTCTTCAAGTTTGGCCATAAGAAAGCTGATACAATGTGCTTGAGAGGAAATGAGATTGTCTGATATGAATGCAGGAAACTCATTTTGTCTGTGCCAGACTCAGCTGCTACAGAAGCACATATTTTTGAGGTAAAAAGATATGAGTTGGAGTCTTAGAAGGCACAGTCACATCCCCAAGTTCACTTTCTGCTTTGCGTCCCTCATTCTACTTAGCTGCAGAATGGATTCTGAGTGTTCAAACACATAGGGTGTGAACTGCAGCAGAAATCTTTAAAAATTTCAGTTAACTGGGGTGTGAAAAGACAAGGAAAGTTTTTTGGCAAAATGCACCTCTAAATACTCATTTAAAGCATCAAAGAAACCTGGAAGAAGAAAAAAGATGAAGACAAAGAGCAAGAGGAAGAGGAAGAGGATGAGGAAGAAGAAGAAGAAGAAGAAGAAGAAGAAGAAGAAGAAGAAGAAGAAGAAGAAGAAGAAGAAGAAAGAGAAGAAGGAAAAGAGAAAAAAACAAAACAAAAAGTAATGCCAATTTGTGGGGTTTTGTCTCCAATGCCTCAGCCTCATTTAGCAAGGAATGGATCAAAATTTGCCGAATGGAAGGCTCAGTGTGGAAAATGGACTTTGCACCAAGGCACTGAAGGTGTGTCTGGCTCACTAAGAAGTCCAATCCATGGCAGAGCCTGGAGCCTGGTGGAGGCTGAGGCCAGGACCCAGGAGTTGAGGCCCCTGGGGCTGAGGTCGCAGAGTCTTTGCTGCACCCTGGTGGCTCTGCCTTATTGGTCCTGCAGGGCTGCAGCATGGATGCGGTGGTGGAAATGGGTTTAAGGCAGGAGGTGCTGGGCTCCTCTGCATGCTGCACACTCCCTGCTTGGCCTGAGCACAGGAAGATTCAAGTCCTCCTTGCTGGAAAAAGAAACTCTGAAGAAGATTCTGGGTGTCCTCTATGAGACACATATGAACACAGTGACTTCTCAGGTAGGGAGGGCAGGACACACACCACAGCGGGATTCGCATGGCTTCATATCTTGGGGGTTTAAAAGTTAGTCATGAATGATGTGTTGCCTTTCTGAATAAAAAGACTCCTTATTTTATGTAACTATAAAGTGAAGCTTGAATGTTCTTCTATATGCATATCCTACATTACATATAAAAGAATACTAAGTCATCCATTTCCACTTACCTATTCAAGAAAATACCAACTATTTATTCTTAAGTGAATTGAACAGAAGTAATACTGAATGGAGCACTATAAATAATGCAGTGAAAAATAAAATGGAAAAACCCCAAAGGCATCCCTCCCAAGATGACAGGTCTGCCATTGACCAGATCCTTTCTCCTGTCCTCACCTGCTGTGCAGGCCTGTGTCTCTTCACTGCTGGGTGGAGAGAGAGCCAGGACACAAGTTCTCTTCCATCTCAGGAAAGATCAGGGACATGACCTTCTTTCAGCATTTTCAGTGGCTGTAATTTATAATTAACTCAGCAGCTGTGCTGTGGAACATTCATTGTTTCTAACAGTCCACTCCTTAACTGATTAAGAAGAGAATAAGGTGTCTGTCAATGCCATTTTTATAATGACCCCTAGAAGTGAAATTTCCAGGTTAAATGTATATAAGATGAGCTTGAGGGTCGCAGATTTTACACTTGAAGCCTCAGCATAAAGTTAGAGTCTGGTAGAGGAAGACTGAGTCTGCTCAGATCTATGTGGAGATCTAAAGTCAGAGAGATGGTCCAGGCAGAGGTGCAGGACACAATGGCACCTAGCTGGAACCATGGCTAAAAAAGGCCCAGGTGCAGGCCACCTCATCCTTGAGTAAGTTCTCAGGAAAGCATCACACACTGCACGTTGGACAGGAGAGAGCTGGAATGGTTCCAGAGCTCCTCCCTACATGCCTGAGGCCCCCTCTCTCACTCAGGGGAGCTCTGTATGAGAAGGTCAGTCTGTTACAGAGCCCAACCTGACTGAATGTTTTCCACCCAGGTGCAGATCTGAACTGCCACATGTGGACTCCCCATAGCTATGGAGCAGGACAGGTGTTTACAGGGGGCAGGTCAGGAGATGGGGACACTGCAGGCAGGTCAGGGTATGAAGCCTTAAATAAGAGACCAGGCCCTCACCAGGCCCAGTTTCCTCCAGCAGTAACCACATCCTGCAAGAATGTGTATTAAATCTGAGTAACTGAAAGGAGTTACTAACAAAATTCTATATTATAGAGATAGTTTGAAGATACAAAAGTAAATGGTAGCATCCGTAAGTAAAATGAGATGTGACCCTTAATGGATATGTGGTGTCCATTGATGTCCCCAAACCACATGCATCAGAAGGAAATAGCCTGATGAAGAGAGCAATAAGGAGCACAGACAATGTGTAAAAATCACAGCTACTTAATAACAACAACAAAGCTGGTATACAATAAGTGCACCGGTGAATTTTATCCAGTATTTAATAAAGAATAAATACTGATTGTTTTTCAATTCTTCAATCAAGTTGAAGGAAAAACCACCACCAAATTCTTTTATGTGACAAAATAATTCTGAGAATGAAGCCAGATAATAATGTGTTAAAAATAATATAAATGAAAACACTCTGTTGGCTAATATTCCTACCAAACATACAGAAACGTGTTCAGCTTAATGTTTGCCACATTAACTAACCAGCATATTCAAAATTAACTAACATGATCAATACTGGGCTAATCTCAGTGGTGCAAGTATGATCCCTCTCTCACAAACTATCTGTTTCCACTGGTTTTAACATGTTGTATCTTACTATATTTTACTATATGTGATAGTATAAAGAAAATTTTTTAGAGGCAAGGAGATAATATAGAAACCATTTTTTGTTTTCTGTTAACTGGTTCTAAATACCCTGTAATTCTTTCATTCTCTTGAATGGCTTCACACTGTCTTGATATGCTTGATGCTATAGTATACAAACTTATACTCAAATAATTCAAGGAATGAGGCACTATTTTGACTACTATTATGTTAGATTATCTGGGAGTGAAATACAATGATGCTTAAATTGTTCCATTTTGACAAGTGTTGTTGTATTACAATGTCCTCTTTTATCTCAATCTCCATCCTTTTTTAAAAAATTAAACTATTTTTCGTTTTTTTCAATTAAGGGAAAACTAAATTAAAAAATATTGGGATATATTATAGTAACTATTTGTTTTCCTATTAACCTGATTTGAACCCCAGTATTGCTCTCCCCATCTTGTTCTCTCTGATTTTACTATATTCTTTTTGTTTGATAGTATCAAGTTTGAGGGTATAGGCAACCACTTTGAAGGAAATAAGATTTACTATGATACCCATTATAGTTTGACTATTATCTTCTTTTGAAATCTTGTAAGGTCTCCAGTCTAGGTTTTATTGGTCTTGTTCTATACTGTTTTGATCAATTCTATTATACCTGGTGATATAGGAAACTCTTTTTAAAAATAGCAAGAGGCACAATGGTAACCATTTGTGATCATCTGATACTCTATTTTTGCATCATGTCCTATGCCCACCCTTCTGTTCTAACCAACTCTGTTTTATTTAGTCATGTTAGGATTTATTCTCTTCAAAAAAATGTAATAAGAACTGTGGGAGTAAAAAAAACTCAAAAAGTGTAATTGTTATTGTACAAAAGAGAGAAAAGGAAGGTGGTCTAAGGGATATAACTGCATGCTTGAGTGTGTAGGATGGAAAACCATATTACTGAGCTTTTGTTGGATCATTGAACAGAACTTTCTGCAATCTCACTGTATGAATGTCCACTTTATATGCTTTAATTTTATAATTTGGACAACTGTTTCTAAGGTGACAAGATGTAACCTATTAACTAGTGATTTCTTACTGAATTCTTTCTTGAAATTCTGTATTACTTGTACCCTTTTACTGCTTTGTTTTTTATTTCCTATCTTTGTTCTCTTTAATTAAAAAATAATCAAACCCAGAATGGATATCTTTTATTTATTTATTGATTGATTGATTGATTGGGCACTGGAGATCCAGCTCATGACCTCACACATGCCAAGCAGGTGCTTAAGCCACTGAGTTAAATCCCCAGCCCACCAATGGATATCTTTTACATCTTGTCATCTTCTGAGAAGTTGCCTCTTCTCTTGAACTTGATACTAGCAAGCATACCCAAAGTGAATAAAATCAGTCAAGGCCAAATAGCATTCAAACAAACCAGCTTCAAAGAAGATCAGTCATAGAAGACAATGTAAGTAATATAGGGTTTCAGGTTTAGTTAATAGGAAATTAAGGATAGTTACCATGGTATAACCTGCTATTTTTGGGTTATCTCTGTGTGCCCTCAAATCTAATATGAGTAGACAGACAAGAACAAAATATAACCAAACTAAATAGAGCAACAAGACTACTGTAGATTTTAAATCCTGATACACTTTTAACAATGTCCTCTGCCTTCTATTTTTAGGCAATTCCTCACCTTTCTCCTTCTCAGGATACTATTATTCACTGTTCAGAGTGATATTAGTCTAGTCTCTTATGTTACACTGCATTTTAAAAGCTTTCCCACATTATTTACATGCGTAAGAGTTTGTCTCCAGTGTGAATTCTTTCATGTTTCTTACAACCTCCCCATGTGCTAAAAGCTTTCCCACATTGCTTACATACATAGGGTTTCTCTCCAGTGTGAATTCTTTCATGTTTCTTACAATTTCCCTGTGTGCTAAAAGCTTTCCCACATTGCTTACATACATATGGTTTCTCTCCAGTGTGAATTCTTTCATGTTTCTTACAATATCCATGTTTGGTAAAAGCTTTCCCACATTGCTTACATACATATGGTTTCTCTCCAGTGTGAATGCGTTCATGTTGCTTACAATGTCCAGAACTAGTGAATCCTTTTCCACATTGCTGACATACATAGGGTTTCTCTCCAGTGTGAATTCTTTCATGACCCTTACAGTTTGCACATGTGTTAAAAGCTTTGCCACATTGCTTACAAACATATGGTTTCTCTCCAGTGTGAATTCTTTCATGTCTCTTACAAACTCCCCATCTGTTAAAAGCTTTCCCACATTGCTTACATATATATGGTTTCTCTCCAGTGTGAATGATTTCATGTATCTTACAATCTCCCCGTGTGCTAAAAGCTTTTCCACATTGCTTACATACATATGGTTTCTCTCCAGTGTGAATACTTTCATGTCTCTTACAGTTTGCACGTGTGTTAAAAGCTTTGCCACATTGCTTACAAACATATGGTTTCTCTCCAGTGTGAATTCTTTCATGTCTCTTACAAACTCCCCGTCTGTTAAAAGCTTTCCCACATTGCTTACATACATATTGTTTCTCTCCAGTGTGAATTCTTTCATGCTGCTTACAATCTCCCTGTGTTTTTAAAGCTTTCCCACATTGCTTACATACATATGGTTTCTCTCCACTGTGAATTCTTTCATGTTTCTTACAGTCTCCCCATGTGTTAAAAGCTTTCCCACATTGCTTACATACATATGGTTTCTCTCCAGTGTGAATTCTTTCATGTTTCTTACAATGTCCATTTTGGGTAAAAGCTTTCCCACATTGCTTACAAACATATGGTTTCTCTCCAGTGTGAATTCTTTCATGTCTCTTACAAACTCCCCGTCTGTTAAAAGCTTTCCCACATTGCTTACATACATATGGTTTCTCTCCAGTGTGAATTCTTTCATGTCTCTTACAGTCTCCCCATGTGTTAAAAGCTTTCCCACATTGCTTACAAACATATGGTTTCTCTCCAGTGTGAATTCTTTCATGTTTCTTACAATATCCATGTGTGGTAAAAGGTTTCCCACATTGCTTACATACATATTGTTTCTCTCCCGTGTGAATTCTTTCATGTTCCTTACAAGGTCCAAGTTGGGTGAAACCTTTTCCACATTGCTTACACACATAGGGTTTCTCTCCATTGTGTACATTTTCATGTATTTGAAAATGAATTTTACTGCTAAAAGCTTTCCTACATTTCTTACATATATGCGATTTCTGCCCAGTGTGAAGTTTTTCATGGATTACACAATAAGTGTGTGTGCTGAAAGCTTTCTCACAGTGCTCACATTCATAACGTTTTTCTCCAGAGTGAAGTCTTTCATTTACTTGACAATATGTACATGTTGTAAAAGCTTTCCCACATTGATTACATACATAGGATCTTTCTCCTCTGTGAATTCTTTCACGTTTCTTACAAATTCCAAGTGTGGTAAAACCTTTCCCGCATTGCTTGCATACATAGGGTTTCCCTCCACTGCAATATTTTTCATGGATCTGAACATTGTCATGTGTTTCTGTATCTTTCACATTCACATTACCTTCTTCAGTACCAAGGAAGACTTCTTTACACTGATTCCATACATCTCCAGATGTATGTCCATAGGATTTCCCTAGCTTGTCATTTCTGTAAAGAAAAAAATCACATATAAGATTTATAACCATATTACTAAGTTTTTGCAGTCTCGCTGTTTGAATCCCCACTTCATATGTTTCACTTTTGTATTTCATATCTATTTCCATGAGCAGCATATGTAATCATCATCTTGCAATTTCTTACTGTTTACTTTCACTTTGAAATTAGCATTATCTCTACTTATTTTGTTTTGTTTAATCTTTCCTTATATAAATTTAAAAAAGAAAAATTCACAGTGAAATGGGTCTCTGTTTAATGACTGCATTAATGTCAAGTTCTGTTTTTAATGCCTGCTAAGAAATTCTGACCATGAAGCAACAGAATGGCCTTGTAAGATATGTTGAAAACAACCATTCCCAAAAGACTGGCATACATTTAGAAATCTTAAAATTTGGTACTTTGAAATGCAGAATCTTTAGCTTCACTTTGGGCATGGGCACATATGTGTATCACATACAGATTATTCTGATATGTTTCCCCATTCCAATCTCCCTTCTGTCCTTAACCTGTAGTTCCCTTTTCCATATTGTCAGTCTTACTTTTCTCTACCAACTTTCTTTCATTACATTCCACAATTTATATTTTGGTGTCTCATCTAAAAGAAACCCTGTGACCTTTTATGTTTTATAGCTGAGCTATTTCACTGAATTGATGGGTGAAAGACCCATCTATTTCTTATGGCAAATGACATTATATTATTTATTTTTTGACATTATATAACACATATTTTCTTTTCTGGGCTGGGAATGAACAACAGGTATTAGCATAAAATCTGTAGCTTTTTAAAAATCTATTTTAAGAGATTTTCGCTGATCATTAAGCTGTGAAGTTTGAACTTGAAATTGCCATTCTGCAAAATCTGATTCCTAGTGTGCTGGGTTTACAAGAATGCACAGTCACAGAGAGTCTATTAATATTTTCCTTCTCCACAAATCCAGTGATAGATAGATAAGCTTCAAGGCCTGATCTGTTATAACTTAATCTGCTTTGTATATGAGTAAGCATGTATCAGTATTTTATGCAGATTTGAGATTTTAAAAATATCCAGGACAAGTGTGAGGGGATCAATTTCTACAGACAACTGCATACTGATATTCAAAATGAGTGCAATAACATTCCACCAGCCTACTAAGAATATTAATCAGAATGGCTGATTCTCTAGAGAATGTCTTGGAAACATGAGCACTCAGTTTTATTTCAAATTCTATTGCAAACTTAGCAATTGTTAGATAATGAATGTGTTATATTCACATGTAGACATGGGTAGAAAAACTGAAGGCAACTCAAAGTGTATCCTTTTTGTATTCATCTATATGCAATGTCATACATTTTCATGATTTATTTCGCTCATATATACACTAGCTTATACATCTTCAGAGAATATTACTGACATTAAATTGAATGGTGTCTCTTTCTTTGGTTGTCATTTTTCTGCTACTCACTAATTACTGAGGAACACTCCTCTCCTTGTGAGTGCGAATTACCTTAAGTAGCTCCAGTAAATTTTGCCTTCTTTTTCAGCTTCCTGGATATCCCAGAGTCCTCCTGAATTGTAGACATAGAAATACCAGGACTCTTTAGAGTAATACATACAAATTAATAGGTTTTGTTTAGAGTTATGATATAATGTGTCCAGGTCTGAGATATTTTTAAAAATATTTTCATATTCTTTTTCATGAACCAGCACTAATGAGCAAGAAACAATATTCTGACAGCATGAGGGGCAAAAAGATTTTATCCTTACCTATCAGAGTCATGTTCCTAAAGGTTTCGCCCATCACATCTCTGTAGAGCTTCTTTTGGGATGGACTCAGCAAAGTCCACTCCTCATTGCTGAAGTTCACGACCACATCCTCAAAGGTCACCACCTCCTAAAGGATCATACATATATTTCTCAATGGAAGGTTGAGACCCCAGGTTTGGGATATCTTAAACTTTCTCCTAGAAATCTGAATCAAAAGCAAAGTGTGGTGGTGCATATCTATAATCCCAGCACTCAAAAGGCTGAGACAGGATGGCATCAGTGTGGTCAGGGCAATTCTAGGCTCCATAGGGTGTTCAAATCCACCTGATATACATACAGAAAGCTTGTCTCAATAAAACAAAACTAAACTAAACAAATACAACCAAACAAAACAGCTGAATGAAGACTGATTTCTTCCAATTTTAATCCATGTCTTGGTCATTAATTTTGTGTATATACACATTTTTGAAGACAGCAAATTTGATGCTAGATTGCAACTCACTGCTAATGTAACAGCCAAATAGGAGCACTGATTCTTGTGCTGAATCACGGCAAGATTCCCCTTGCACTGTCTCTAAAGCAGAGCTCACAGTGAAAAGCCTGCAGGACCAGCAACCACAAAGCACCGAGGCAGATAAATATCCCATCAATTGACTGGAAAGTCAAGCAAGCACCTCCCCTCCCCAGTCAGCAGTGGTGGTTTGGCAAATTGCAGCCCTTCCAGGGGGAAAATCAGCAGCAGCTCCTGAGATCCATGCCAACCTGGAATTTAGGACACTGGGAAGCCAGTCAAGCACCACTTCTCCCTGGTAAGTGGTGGCAGTCTGTAAGACTGCAGCCCTTCCAGGGGGAGAACCAGCAGCAGCTCCTGAGATCCATGCTATGTTGAAACTTAGGATGCTGTGAAACCAAACAACCAGCCTGTCTCCCTAGTAAGCAATAGTGAACCTACTGATGCACCACCTAGAATCAAACATCCCACTTCCCTAACCCTCTTCTCCTGTCACCCCCCACCATTAGCAAATGGGAACCAGAAATCTGAGCATCTCCTGGGAAGTTGACCATAGCAAATAAGGGGGACTTCCTTCTACTATTTCTTTTAAGGAAAATGTTTTTATTATTGTTTCACTCTATTCTGATTAATGGTACTGCTCCATTCAATATTCTGTTTGGATAAGTTCTATAACATTCTGTATTTCATCTCACTTTGATATATGTGATTAAAGAACAACTATTACAAAGATAAAATATACTGTGATACCTATTACTGTTATCCCAGTAACCTGTTGTGAAGTTGTGTACCAATTTCACTGTGTGATCTTAGTTGGCCTTATGCTGCCTTGTTCTGTTGTATTTTACCAATTTCAATATTCAAAAAAAATCTCATCAATCACTTTGATAGACTACAGATGATGTCTCTTCAAATCTCATTTAAGCCAATGAGTACTTTGTTCTTAATATACTTAAGCAGAATTTTGAAACATTAATTTGCTTTCATAGAACAAAACATAAATAACATCAAATATGGTACATAAATAATAACTCAAGTGTTAGTGGAAAATGGCTGTATTTTTAAAATATGTATATAAAATGAAACCAGGCCCAAGCTGTAAATTATACCTCACTGTTACCAAGTGATCACTTTCAATTCAAATATAAGAAATATATCTTTGGAGGCTGGTGAAGGACTTCTTCCTTGAATTTGGGGCTATCCTAAGTTACAGAGCTGTCTAAAATAGACAATCCCTGACTGAGACACCGAACAAAGTGAAAATTAAAAAGAGACTGCATAAGATATCTTTGGTTTGTTTTAAAACATTATAGGCACACAATACAGAAAAATTCCAACAATACACAACACTTTCTGTGGAACAATGTGGATATCTTCCATACTACACAGAAAACACTTTCATAGTTGCGTATTTAGCTCAGTGGCATGAACGCCTGCCTGGAAAGCATAGGTCATGAGTTTGATCCTTGGTACAAAAAAAAAATTCAAATTTCACTTTCATGACCCTGGGGCATAATTAGAGCTAATCAAAATTAGATCTCAAGTATGGAACACAAAAATAATGGGTTGACAGGGTTGTGGAATACTGATTGTTGCCAGAGCTGGTGTTGATCACCTCAATGAAGCAATCAGAATCCAACTTTACTTCATACTTACTCTAAGAACTACCTGACTTTCAGTGAAGACCCTCACTGTTGTATGTCCTGCTATTTGCTTCCTGCATCCTCTCCTGTCAGTCACTTCCACATCCTTTCCATACTCCTCTGATCCATCCTAAGAAGAAAACCCTTCATGCCTAACTATTGATATCACTGCCAAATTTCTATTTAGGGCTTCTCATTTACATCACTTAGATAAGTCCATTGCAGAGCATCTCTATATTTAAACTGTCTATGAACAACCAAGCTACTAAATCAGCTCTTAACTTAGAGATGACACCTCTATTCCTTTCCATTCAGAAGGATATCACGTGTATATGTCCATGCAAATGCCTAAATTTTGGGATTTTTCGATGAGAATTTAACAGGTAGCCCTTTCTGGAATTTGTCTTTCACAAATATTTACCCTGTCCTTGATAACACTTTCATATTTGCTTCATTTTTCTCAGACTTCAAAACTCTATGGCTTTTCTTACAAACCTAGACTGTGAGCGGGGTTGCCACCTAAATTATTAAGTATGCTCAGAAATTATTTTGCACTGATCTGTATAATACACAGGAGTTCACCAGGTGTTTGGGAAGCCTTTCTCCACTGAGGCACACTACTACAAATCCCTGAATTGTCAGGACCTTTGTCACTACCTGTCCTGAGGATGGAAATATGAGAACATACTATAATTTAAGGAGATCACTATAAATACAAAAAAGCCAAGTTTAAGTTGAGCCATTGTGGCTATGAGGCCACATATTACAGACATTAATAAATTCCAGACATTCCAGATCTGCTACTCTGAGGAAAGAGAGCAGAGACCAAGTTCATTACTGCTCTACAAGCTACAAATCATCATGGTCAGGGTCTTCCCAAGCTCCTTCCAATGCCTAAGATGGTGGAGTTACCAGGCTAGCAATGAATTTGAAAGATGATACTTGAGTCTGCTGCTCTCATAGTGAAGCCAGGGGTTTGGGGACCTCCAAATCACCCTTGCCAATAGCAAGAGGCAAAAGGGACAGTGAATGACCCATGGGCAATGCTGCAGGACCTCAGAAGCTGAAGCTAACTAAATACCTGGGGCTCCAGACACCGGAACTACTCCTAAATACTTGTAACTGGTTTCACCCAATCCACCCTATTTCTGGGCTTCCATCCACAACCTCACTATTCCATGGTTCCAGGATCTCTCAGGTTCTTTGCTAATCAGGCCACAGGACATCGAACGTACTAAATGAGATCCAGCAAGCATTTTGCTACCACTATTGTACTCAGAACAGATAAATCATGCTGAGACAACAGAAGAGACAGAAGTCACAGCCAGCAATGGCCCGCCTGATTGGACAGTTCATATAGCCTGCCCCTTCATCACTGATTGCCTCCTGCTCTACTGCTCTTCTTCTGAGTCAAGAATAAACAGGGAAAGGAACCCCTCCCTGAAAGCGAGGGTCCCAAATGATAGACTGTATTGCAGAGACTTCTGGAGCTGTCATTCTTCTACAGTGGTGAACTCAGCTCGACAGAGCAGTGTTTGTACTGAAGAGCTTTACCTCAGGCTTTTAATTTTCAAATCCGTTTTATTTCAAGGAAAAAAGAGCGCATCAAGTAAAATTGAATTTCAAAACATGTCAATCAGGGAGCAAAACTGGTATATACATTGCACATTGTCATCCCCAGATCATTCACCCAGACCACAAGACATCTCTAATCAGTTTTCCAAACAGTCTGTTACAGGCACCTGAGTTACTTAAATACTCTTGGCATGAACCAGGGCCAGGTCCTCCAAGGAGACCATGCAGGAGACCAGATACCTTACAACTATGGGGAAGACTGACACCTCATGCTATGGGCCAAGGCTAAAGACAATGATAAGCAAATTCATCCATATCCTAAGGATAGATATTCTAAATAGTTCCCTAGCACTCTGAGGAAGTCAGGAGTCACCATTCAAAGAAATGTATCCTTATCCTAAAGAGTGACATTCTAAATAGTTCCTATCATACTGAGGAACTCAGAAGTCACCCTCCCAAACCCCTAAGGGAAGAGTCACAGCTGCCTAAGAATGCCTGCTTTCTATGTGACTCCCTTCCCCCTTTGTTCCCAATTTAATCAGCTTTACCTGAACTTAATAATCCTATTGGGTACCATAGCTCTTTCCCATCTTATATCCATTTGCATTGTGAGTTTCTAGTTTTCCCCACCTTAACCTCATTTCACCACATGATTTTACTTTATAAAGTTCCCTGGAAAGGACAATGTTTGGCAACCTGCTCAGGACTCCTTCGCTCTCTCAGGCAGCTTTCTTTCTCTCAATAAGTACATTCTTATCTTAACCTCTGTTGTTCCTAAAATTCATTCTTTGACTTTACAGAAAAAAAACCCTCATATTAAACATAGTAGACCGGGAGATTCATTCTGCTATAGCAATATCGATATAAACATTTCTCTTTCTTGAAGTCAGAGAAATCAGTTAAAGTTTGTATCACACAATGTTGATCTCACCTTACCAGGTATACTTGCATTGAAGGCCTTTATCCCTGCCTTTAAGTGCTGCTTCATTTTCTGAAAGTGAACTAATCTGTAATTTTGGTTATGGAATCTAAAATGCATTAAGGAAATGACTCAAAATTTCTTATGAATGGTTTACCACCAGCCATGGAGGAAGTCAGAGAGCAAAAATTCTTTGTTTTGATTTCTTCATTCAAACCAAAGGATGTACTTGAAAGAGTTTTGCCCTAGAAACAATTACAGGACCTCATGGTGGTCGTTCAAGGTGGGAGAATGTGAAATCAGGGGTGCTTACTCATATGGTCACTTCCTCTTTTCCCCTTGAATACAACTTCCTCTTTCCTTCCCAGGGTCCTAAAGAAAATTCCCATCAGCTCCTGGCATGACATAAATGTCCCTTCCAAGCACCACATGCAGTCAAAAGTCACATATATGCCATATCCCCCTAGTCAGTTGGAAAA